GAGTAAAATTAGATAATTGCATTTATAACGAAAGTTTTAAGGTGTCTCTCTCTCTAAAACTCAACAAAGCATTCTCTTCAGATCAGATCTGATATAGTTTCCGGCCGGCGGTTGCCAGTCCAGACTGTAAATATTTTTTTTCTTCAGTTGTAGATCTAGGTTTCCGTTTTAACGGATCTTTTGTTGTATAATATTTCCGTTTAGCGGATCAAGGTTTCCGAATTTGGTCGGATTTTGGGTTTCCGATTATAGAAAAGTGTTTTAGCTCCGATTTGGATTTCTATGTTAGATCTGAGTTTGTTGGTATCGAAAATTCTTATTTTACTTCCTATTTTTAGATTCATCTTTTCTATGGCGGGGAGAGATATCTTCCCCTGGTTCCTCTTTAGGCGATCACGGTTGGTCGTTGAGGTGTGGTCATGGTGGTTAGATGGATCGGAGGAGTTCAATCGTGAAGTTTGGTGAGATTTCTACCCCCTACTCAGACATCAGATGAAATCGGAGTTTTTACAGGAGATTTGGAGAAGCTGGCCATTTTCTACGCATTAACTCGCATGCACTGGATCTGGAATTCCGGCTATCGGAAAAGTGTGTCGGTGGTTCACTGCATGAGCTTGTGTTTTGGGTTTTACTTTGTAATCATTCTGCAAATTTCTTTGTTTCTGGCCCATTGGGCTTATATAATAAAAAAAAAAGTTGACGCCAAAAAAAAAAAATGTAATAAAGTATTATTTTTGAAAAAAAAAAATATAGGATTTTAATTATTATTGATATCTGTGAATATCCGGATATCCGAAATTTTTCGAAGCAAATCAAATCGAAAATTTAGATATCCGGTAAAAAGAAATCGAATCACAAATACTATATTTTTTCCCTTGATCCACTCCGCGCCCAGGCCTGTATTTGATCCCAAGAGCGGGAAATAGTCAATTATCCCATGAATTCGGTAGTTTCTGATTATTTATACACGAGATATGGACTCATGTCAAAATACACATGAATTAGTTGTATTTTTGAATTTACCACATGAAGTATTGAAATACAGTCAATTCCCACAAATCCGTAAACATAATCAGTTTTTCGTTAACAAATGTTGACGTGGATGACACGTGAAATGGGAAAACGGCCAATTTTTCCTATCAAAACTCAAGATTGAGCTAGAGAGATGAACTAGAGAGATAAATGAAACAGAAGAAAAGTTTGTTATTCATTCTGTTGACCTTAGTCAATGTATTGGTACAACATATATATACTTATCTAATCCGGTTTAACAACATAACTGGTATAATTAACTTCA